ACGTTAGCTTTCACCGTTTTTTGCCCCCAAGGGCGGCGCAACGAATTTCTGGTAGGGGCTCGCGCACTCGCGATGGCTGTGCCATCTACCAGTCGCAGTTGGTGATACTCGCGTACTCGTGATGGTAATACCATGCGACAATTGACGGTGGTGGCTTACCTACGCTTACCAACACTGCTCGCTTTTGATGATAACAAGTTCTTTTTATATTTTTAACCGCAGAAGAAACGAATTATCATTCATACGAGCTATACGTATGAACAGAATTTTGATTAAACGTTACTACAATTCTCTATAACAAAGAGAGTGTCCAATAAACCCGGTATGTCTCTACACGTTCAAGGAAATTCCGCGACATAAGTTTCGAGTTAATCGTGAAACAACTTCGAAATTTGGAATTTCTGTGCCCGCAATATGTATAGTTAAGCTGTAGCGTTCTTTTTTTGGACCAATTCCTCATTATATTCAAAGTGATTCATAATATGGCATTTTACCTTTATTGTATAAAAAGTTCACAGGTATAGGAATTCGTCAGTTCCTCGTCACCTTGTCTGATTATCCTTTATCGCGATTCGACGGCTCTATCACTCTAAAGGACTGAAAAAGCCCGTTTAATTCCCAAAGGCAGAAAAATAATACGGCACTTAGTCGGAACATCAATCTCAATATTGGCGATTAGTATAGAACCTCTTATTTCATAATGGCGGTTTCCATTATTTCACCCTACCTCCGGCCATCATCATTTTTCCACATTCCGCGGAAGGGACTTTATTAGAACCTCCCCTCGATCTACAGACCCGTAGAAAATAATCGCAGGAACAAAAGGAAACTCCAACGAGAAGTACTTCCAGTCGAATGAAATTTTCGTTCCCGTGGCAGAAAAAAGAATTCATCGATCGACAAACTGGCAACTCCGTCACCCATGAACGTTACAAAGCCAAGAAAAGAAGCATGCAAAACCCAATCTCCTAATCAGCGAGAATACCAGCAACTCGCAATACGCCGTCCCAATCAATCGCCATAAAACGCCTCTCTCGTTTAATATCATACAAACTTCTGCCCCGACATTGCCCGGAAGCCAAGGAAGCTTTCGCAGGGTCGTTTATTCCCAATAAGCCCTTGATCGTTAGATCGATAACACCTCCGAGTACAAAAATATAACCCCCACGTCCACCCGCACCTATGCGATCCGAGACCGGACCTCGGTACTGAGAAAAAAGTCACCTCAAAAAAATATGCATTGCTACAACAAAACCCTGCTACCAAATACGTCCAAAGAAACATCAGGAGGAGTAACCAAAGTTCCTCAAAATCAACGATATAATTTCCCTCCTCCTGAAAATAATTCTTTCCTGGGATAACATACGATCCAGGATACCAGCAACCCCCGGGGTCGCGCATCAAGGTCCTCTTCACCGGTGGGAAAAAACAACGGGGGAGCAAAACGGTGCAACGCGAGCTTGCAAAAAGTGGGCCTCGCACCTCTTAAAAGGGGCTCTCGATTCTCGACAGGTTCGCGTCATAAAGCAGCTATTATTAATCCAAGCATATTCCCCGTTCCGGGACGACGGGGTCGAGGCGGGCACCCCCTGTACGCGCGCGCCAGGGAAAGGGAAAGGCGGCCGAGAGAGTGGGAGGGCGCAGCCTCGGATCGGCCGGTGCGTTACCGCGGCCGTAGTGGCGGTCGAGGAGTGCGGCGAGTGCGGACGCTCTCGTCCTCGCGCGTCGGTCTTTCGTCGCGCCCGGCCGATGCGGCCGATTCGGGGTAAGAGCCGGTGAAGGACGCGCGAGGCCGATGGAGGCCGCGGCCCGGTCAGCCGATCGGCCCTCGGCGTGACCGCCGCGCCGCGCCGCTTCCGCGCGATGCGCGCCCCGTGACGCGACGACGCGACGACGCGACGTGGCCGATCCGGAGCGAGACTCGACCCTCGCGCGCACGCAGGCGCGCGCCCGCGCTCGCCCCCATGTGCACGCGTGCAAAGGGCTAGATATAAATGTGCCTGCAGCCATGCCCGTGCGCAAGTACAGGAGGGATACCAGTGAGGTCAGCTGCTGCCTCAAGTATGTCATCTTCGGGTTCAACGTCACCTTTTGGGTGAGTACCTTCACGTTTCGCCGTTACTTTTTCTTCCTACAAGCGGTAGACTCGACCACGAGGTCTTGCGTTCTGGACTATGTGATCTTAGACCATATGTGCCCATAATTATGAAAGTGGTCTAAGTCAAAATTAAAAAGAAAAATGAGTTTATCAGTTATTTCACGCCATATTATTTCAAACGAAATTAATTCAATGTAATTTCGAAACAAAAAATATATGACTTAGACCACTTTCATAATTATGGGCACATATATATATCTATACATCTCATTGGACCTCCCACTCCCAGATTTTCAGTAAGCATAACGGCTTTAATGTGATTTTGTTATTAATCTTTTTTCTTTACTTTTATTTATTAATTAATTAGTGTGGCTTTAATGGTGAGTCGTCGGGACACGTGGTACATTCGTTTACCCCTTCCCCTGCAAGGCGGTATATATATATACATATATGGGGTAAAATATGATTGGATCCGAGTACCGTCGGCACACGTGAGCCATGTGATATTAGAATTTACTCCTTCCACTGCTATGCGAAGTCTTCATATTTATGGTATAAGTATATCATTCACGGTTCCACGGAAAAATTGCCGCAGGCCTCGGCGTGTTTATGCGTTAAACGTGACACTGGTTAAGAGTTCATTTGGAATTCGGGGCTACCGCAACCATTTCGAATGGTTTGGCGCGGGTTAGGGCGCACGTGCTTCCGGGTAATTGTGGGCAACTAGGGTATGAGTGCGGCGATGGAAGAGAAATGCTTGGAAAATTTTAATCCTGCATATCACGGTATATCGGTTTTGTTAAGCGTTTGAGGGTACAGGTGACGTTGAGATCGGTTGAGGTATTGAGTTTGGACCGTTGAAGTATAAAAGGAGGATGAGTGTACACAATGCGAAGGTAAACGTGGACTTCGGCGATTTGGATTCCGACCTAACCAGGTCACTTTATCGTCGGACGGATTTTGTTTTAGTTTAAGTAGGTAGGGTAGGAGACGGAATGTGGGATAAATAACATTGACTCTGTTAAGGAATTCCTCGTTCTTCTTTGCGTCGTTACTTTATTGAAACTCACGGCGAAGCGCCTCGAGCAACTACGAGGTACTTAGTCGCGTTAACGCTGTCGTTAATGTTTTTAAATTCGAGGTCACCTGTTTGCGGGAGGAAACAGAATGTGGAATGAATAATGCTGACCTTGTTGGGGAATTCTTCGGTTTTCTTAGCGCCGTTATTTAATTCAAGATGACAGGGAAGCACCTCAAATACTACGCTGTACTTAGTCGCGTTAATTCTCTCGTTAATAATGTTATTAAATTCGAGGTCACCTGTTGGTGATAGGAAACAGAATGTGGAATGAATAACACTGATCTTGTTGGGAAATTCTTCGGTTTTCTTAACGCCGTTATTTTATTCAAGATTACAGGGAAGCGCCTCGAGTACTGCCGCTGTACTTAGTAGCGTTAATTCTGTCGATAATGTTTTTAAATTCGAGGTCACCTGTTGGTAATACGAAGCAATGTGGAATGAATAATACTGACCTTGTTGGGGAATTCTTCGGTTTTCTTAGCGCCGTTATTTTATTCAAGATTACAGGGAAGCACCTCGAACACTACGCTGTACTTAGTCGCGTTAATTCTCTCGTTAATAATGTTATTAAATTCGAGGTCACCTGATGGCGCGAGTATGTCGTCTTGGAGGTTTAACGTCACCTTTCGAGGGTGCATGCCTGACTCGAATTTCACCTCCAGACGGGGTCTAAAGTATCTTCGGTAATATGGCTTAAGCCACCTGCATATAACGTTACGCGAAGGAGGGAAGTACGGATTAAATGGTACGAAATTCTATTAGACGGATGTCATAATACGAATAAAAGTCTTGCCGTTCCTCGCTTCGACGTTTCCGGGCTTCCGCGCTTTGCGCAATATTATAACTCGATGTAAGTCGCCTTGTTACGAGTGTCACTAAATCCGAGGTCACCTGTTGTTCCGGATGTAGCACTTGCCGGTTTGCCGGGACGTTTTCGATGAGTACGTGTAAGGATAGGGACATAAAGGCCATGCTCAAATTTCTCCACCACACGGAGTCACCTCGGAAGTCCCGTTTCAGGCGTCCTATTACATTCTCGAAATAGGAGGCAACACCGGAGAATAACTAATGCAAAATATGTGGTTCAGGGTCTGTCTTAGATTGAGCGAAAACCCTCACCGGGTCGAAAACCAGAGCTCGAGACAAGACTATATCCAGCACTAAGTATCAATTTTGTTATATTAATTATTCGACGATTTTACTCTGCAAGTAGGAATAGTATCTCGAAAACCAAAGAGAGACTGAGCATCTCCGGAATGATTATCCCCAAAATGTACAAAGATAGTACAAAGAGAGAACAAATGTACATGTACAAAGAGAGAACGTATGAAATGGTTGAATCGAGAAATAATTGTTTGGTCCAGGTAAATTCCTATGGTGGAGGGATATCCCGCAAAATCAGAAGTGCTCGCGCGGAGTAGACGTCGCGTTTTCCGCGCCGCGGCCGTCCTGGCGTTCGAAATGATCGACGACTTCCGCGGTCAAAGTCGCGGAATCGGCCGGCAGACCGCTTTTGCCCTGCGGTTGGGTTTTTCTCTCGGAACCAGTCGCCCGTTGCGAGGTGTACCTTACTCCGGGTACCGAGATCGTTGCGGGAAACGTGAGAGACGCACGGTGCGTAACGAGAGTACCGGCGCGTACCTGCTCCCCGTGCGCGTCACGGTACCCGCTTACCCCGGTTAATGCTCGGCGGGCATACGCAATTGCATAAAATCCCAAGATTGCCCGGGATTGCGTGAAATTGCGCGGAATCGCGCGAGGCGGAATAGAATGGAATTACGTAAAGTCGCGAGAAGCCGCGTCAAAGAAATTCACGCCGGACGAGCGTCGCCCGAGGCCTTGACTTCGCACTTGATCCTAATAAGGGTACTTAATCCGTTCAGCTAAGTACTCTCGAGAGTGCATTCGTTTCGGGTCCCCTGGTGTCGCCAAGATGGTGACAATTAAAATGTGAGTCGGCGAGGAGCGGCGACGAAGTAACGAGGGGGTGATTTTCTTAATGGCTGACAATGGGTGTAAACACGTCCTTACGACAAGTGCGAGTCCCACCACGTGCTACGTGGGTAATTCGGTCGCTTTGTAATTACACAGGGGGACTTAGGAAGCCCGAGCTCGCTCTTAACCGCGTCGATATTCTCCTGGGGTAATGACTAGGGTTACACTTTTTTTTTTTTACGAGCTTCTCGAAACCTCGTGTTCTCGTTCGCGTTAACGAGTACCCTGGATGGGGTCTTTAACAATGTCTATGAGCAAATTTTGGAGGGCTTGATCTGGCTCGCTCGAGAGGAGCCAATGGACCCATGATCGATAGTTTTGGTCAACTAACGAATTTTATTCCATACTGGCTAGAGGTATAGTAAACCTGCGATAGGAGCGGGAAATAAAGGTGTTTTGTATTTTACTTCAAGTACAATTTCGTTGATTTTATAATAACTCTAACGAAAAGTTGACACCCTAGCTGATGCTTATGGAAGCATGCGAACTTTAATACACACGCTTTCAGGTGCGCCACGAAATTTCTCCTTCCACCTTTACTCTTTAGTGCACTTAACGACTAATTTTTCGCATTCACTTGTTTTTCATGAGGCACTCGAATTGCCGGGTACAGGGCTTGCCTGTTAAGTATTTGTCGAAGTGCCATTGAAAAATCCATGCAAAAGGATTAAATAGGAGGACGTTCTTAACAGCTCCGGAGTTACGCATTTCCTTCGTCATCACAATTCCTTCGAATAATTGTTAGTTGCTCCGAAATGTTCACTTTCGTTCGCCTTTACTGTACATAAGGAAACAGGTAATTTCTCGCTTCGATTCGGGCGCGATATATGGGGCTTCGCAATAATTTATCGTTTAAAAATTTCGCGATAAACTTCGGAGTAACCGAAGTATCATTTCCGGGTTGATCGTTAGTAAGGCTGTAGGTGAAAAATGGGAATACGAAGCGATTCACGGCAAGATTGAGTGATTTAATGGGCCGACCTGACGGTGTTAGGACGAGCCTTCCTATCTATGAGATCTTTTGCCGCTTTAAAGCGACGTGGAAGAATTAATGCACGGCTATTAAACGAAATGGCGCTCCTAAGGGTCCTAATGCAACGTGCGCGCGTTAGAACGTATTCCCTCGAGAGATTGTACGGCTCGATCTGGATGATTACGAAAATGGCGAGAAGCTGAGCACGTATTCGCAAACTTGTGCCAATAACGCCCAACGAGCCGGATGTTTCATCTTCTACCTGTCCGACTGCAGGAAGGCTCGATCATTGGGAACCCGATGCAGGTGCAAGGTGCATAATCCAGAGGGTCTGGGAGGCATTTTCTTCCTGGCCGAACCGGGGAAAAGCTGGAAACTCTCCATCGTTGATAACGATGCACCGTAACGAACGATACTATCTCGGGGATCCAGAACAAAAATCGGTACATGATCGTCATGAAACGAAAATTCAAGTTCGCTGAAGAGAATTAATTGATAATATTCATTGTGGGTAATCATTAGCTAAATTCGGTGCATGAAAAAAAATCGGTGCATGACCGTCATGAAACGAAAATTCAAGTTCGCTGAAGAGAATTAATTGATAATATTCATTGTGGGTAATCATTAGCTAAATTCCATCACGCTCGTTTTAGGTTATTTTGGGTACAACTAATTTGACACTGACTATGGTGAAAATGTTTATGTAAATTTTGTTGACGTTAAAGCGTTTGATTTTCCGAAATGGGCCTCTTTCGTAGCATTCGTTCGGACTTACCTACACTGAGAAATAGATGTCGTCGATTAAAGGAAATTATTTCTTTGAATAATGCTCGTTTGGATCAAATGATTTTGTAGGCGGCACGTGGAAGGAACGATAATATTTTTCGAATTTCATAACTTCATATTTCATTCGATCCATCGAACAAAATGGTTTCTTAGATATGAAAA